TTTTGACAGAAATGCCATTTTCTTATTAATCCAGAGCAACAAAGGAACCAGTCTTTGATTTTACCTTTTGCCTTTTCTCAAGACTTTCAAGGTACAATGTCAGAAGTGACTGCTAGATAGAATCAGAGAATATTTCCCTGTTGTTGTTTTTTTGGCCTGTTTGTAATGGCAAGATGGGGTTAATAACATGCAGTGCAACAAATTACACATGGAGGTGCCACACCAATAGTGCAAACCTAGCTACCAAGAAGGAAATCTGCCCCTCTTATGCTCTTAATCTGGGTTTCTGGGGTTCCTCATAAGGGCAGGTAACTCACAAAAGTTTGTAGACCTGCAGTGGGCTGTATCAAGCATGAAAATGGTGGTTCAGAAGAGAAACCAGGAAGTGAAATGGATACAGCTGTTTATGCTATCTCAACACATATAGATTCAAAAAAAGGAAAAAAGAAAAGGTGCTTTGAGCAGCAAAGCAAAATCAATTAAATTAAAGTCACTGTGAGATTGTTTCTAGAAACCAAAGGGACAGCTTGTTCTTGGCTGGTCTTGCTCTGTGATCTTATAATAGAACTCACATTTTCAGCAGGGTGCTCTCTGTCATGACTGCCAAGGAAAGGAAAATGAAATCAAGAAAAATCTTACTCAAGAATTCATTTTCTGCATTGGTGGGAGAAGGACTGAGAAGCAGTTTTACTTCTTTGTTTCTTTAGCATGGACCACAAAGCACAAGTTTGGCTTTCATAAGGGCCAGAAAGCCAGGCCTGGATTTCTCGCTGTCTCCCCATTTCTAGTTCTTCTATTAAGGGCACTTGCCTTATTTTGCCGAGTGACAACATTTCCCTTCTTTACAGGAAACACCATCTAAAAACCAGTTCCTCGAAGGCAAAATACTAAATTATCATTGATGATAAGAAAGTAACCAGTGAAATGCATTCATCCTTGCAGGAACCCATTTTTACTTGAGGTTAATGTTTTCAGAAAGATGTGCCCTTGGCAACTAGACTTGCAAATTAAGCTCATGTTTATCTTCCAATGACCAATCACGAAACAGAGCTCATGTGAATGCAAGACAAGCATGTTATAGACAGCCTGTGTTATAGCAAGCAGACATCATTCAGCACTTAATGAGGCATTACCTCTAATTCTTTGGGAACTGTATCATTTAATTTGACCCTTTGTCTCATGGGTACCTTCTCTTTGCATCAGGAGATAAGCTTAAGTGTCTTGCACTGGCTCCTGACAACCTTTTTTTTTCAATGATCTCAATGACTGACTACTGCAACACTCTCTATGTGGGGCTTCCCTTGAAGCTGACTCAGAGACTGCAACAGGTGCAGAATGAGGCAGCCACTGGGGTTGCTAAGTTTGATCATATATCCCCAGGGCTGGCTCTGTTGTACTGGCTTCCTGAGCCTTTCCAAGCCAGATTCAAGGTGTTGGTACTAACGTATAAAGCCCTTTATGGTTTGGGACTCCCTTATCTGTTAGAGTGCCTTCCCCAAAGAACATCAGCCTGTGCCATCTGATCCACCCAGGCCAGTCTCTTATGGGTGGCCACACAGAGGAGGTGATGAAGGCTTCCACGAGGAACAGAGCCTTCTTGGTAGTGGCACCATCTCTTTGGAATGGGCTTCCAGTAGAGATCCAACAGGTCCCCTCCCTCCCAGCCTCTGAGGAAGCCTCTAGAGATATTCTCCCACACACATTAATTAATGATGGGCACTGTGTCACCTTATTTGCTTGCCATCAGTGTGTTTGTGTTGAATTCAGGTTTGGTTTGGGGTAGGAGAGAAGTTTGTTTGGGTGCAAAGGTTTGGCTAGGTGGGTTTTTTTTAATATGATTGTCAACTGCTCAGAGTAGTGCACGTCAGGCAGTGTGTAAAATACTGAAAGGAATGAATGATTCAAAGCAGGAGGAAGGAACATGTAGCCCTCCAGATGTAACTGGTTTACAGCTTCCAGCATCTCTCACCATCGGCTACGTTTAGCAGCTGAAGGGTGCTGCAATCTAAAAATGTACAAAAGAGCCTTGTGGCTCAGACACCTCCATTTCCTCCGAAGTTAACTGTAGTTCTCATTACAGAGCAAGTCAAACTGAGAGTCTAGCCCAAGAGTCCTGGCAGGGTTCCAAGCGTGACATGGACTATGGGACTAGTTATCTTCCTTGGTCATTTTGCTCTAGTGTAAACAATGATAGCCCCCCCCCCCAAAATCATACCTGAATGTACAGATGGCAATTTCTTCCTTTTATATATATGTATATCAAAGGCAATTATGCAGTTCTACACCAGCGTTTCTTTTCCATCTGCAGAAATCAGTAAGAGGATAGGCACTGATGCCAAGAGGAATCTGTGAATTGGGGACATAGGGATGTGTCTGGAATCATTGCTTTTTCTTGCGGAAGGCAGTTTCTGCTGGATCTGGTTTCCAGCTCCAAATGTCATAGGATCACAGGCTACCCTGGGCATCCTTGTTAACAAATGCCAAGTGATTTAAGGAAGAGCGCTTGTGATGAACATTCCAGTCCAATTCAGAATCTGGCAGATAAAACCTTGGCCTCCCACCAATGTGTAATTTAACATAAGTCGAGCTGGGAGACATGACTGAGAGAGTCTGCCTACGAGCCGACTCTGACTCTGAAAGGCACTTCATAATTGCCATGCTAATGGAAATGCTCCATCAGTACTCATTTATTTGACTTATCTGCAGAGTCTCCAAAATAAGTGAAATGACTTTACTCCAAATAATACCAGTTCTGAAGGTCACACTGTTTTAAATCCTCTTAACAGTTCTCAGCAAGAGGCAACAGGGTGGGGAGGAAGCAGCTGCTGTCATCAACCCCCAACCTCCTTGCAAATCCTGCTCTGTCCTAATCCGTGATAGCCAATTTACATCTGGAAACGTGTGGACTAGGTCACAGTTGCTGAAGGCACCCAGCCACAAAGGGCAACAAGGTTTTGCACTTTTCTCTTTCAAACTGGGCAGTCACCTCTCCTCAGCCGGCCTCCCCACCCCACCCCACCCCACCCTGTGTTCCTCTGCCATCAAATGCAAGGTGGCCCTTGATAACAGTTCAGAAGCTTCAACAGCAGAAAGACAAGAGCTAACATCCCAGCATCTGTCTCCATTAGTCATTTGCTCTCATATCAAGCTGAAAGTGCATTTGACCTTAAACATCAGAAGGAGCCACTATGGTGAAGAGCTTGGAAAATTGGTGAGGCTGGGTGTGTGTTTTTTTTGGGGGGGGGAAACTAATTCAGCTGCCATCATGGCTCTGCTATAGCGCCATGGCTAGAATGTTAAATGAGAATTCTCAGGGTTCATGTTCACATCCCCACTCGGGCAGGACTGTCATTGATCCCGGGCCTGTCACCCTCTCACCGCCTGGCCTACTTTACAGGAGTGTTTTGTGCCGAGGAGGAAAGCCACACAAACTCATTAGAGGAGGGGCAGGACAGTACAGGACACACATGTAAACAATAAACCAATAAAGTCAAAACTTCAGCCAGAATTCTCCAAACGTGTGTTCTCCAGGTAGGCTGGATGCCACTTCCCCATCACCCACACCCGGCTGGCATAAATAAGCCTGGCACGTGCAAGGCTGTCATGTGACCTACATTCCACCATGAGCTTTGAGGACAGTTAAGAGCAGCCTCTTCACCCTTCTGCCTATCTAAGCACAATATACTGAGGACAAGAATTATGTAGGGCAACATGTTTAAAAGTATGTCTGGAACTCCTCTTTTTTCTTTCTCTTTCCCAGGACCAGCATCATCCTTGATGGTTTTTTAGTGCCTTAACAGTGGCTTCGTGTGCCATTTTGTTACAATTGCCCCCACCCCACCCCCTTCCTCTGGCCTGGGGTCTCTCTCTCTCTCTCTCTCTCTCTCTCTCTCTGAAGCCGGAGACTCTGACCCTTATATTTCGTTGGAGTCAGCAAAAGTCATCACAGATGGGGAGAAAGGCAGCAGTTTCACAAAGTGCTGTGTCTGCAACATTACACTCAAGATTCAGATCTCTGCCACCAACCTATGGTGTTGTGTGTGTGTAGCCAGCTATACAAGGATGTTATGAAGATACTGAGGGCTCTACGCGATTGCAGCTTAACCTGATCTCCACCATGGAGGATGAGAAAGAAACCAAGCCACGATACTCTTTTGCTCCGTCTGAATCATGGAGCAGGTCAAGGGCTCTGGGCTTGGACTTGGTCAGCAGGGATATAGAAAGGGGCTTTGTATCCCTCCCCAAAGACCATTGGTCCAGCGAGCCCACTCTTGCCTCCTTTGACTAACAGCATATCTCGGAGGGCTGGGGCAAAGATCCCCAGAACGTGGGAAGTTCTTCTTTAAAAGTAGTGAGTGAGCATTGCCACTGGGGTTCTCAAAGTCTGCACGTTCCCTTTTCCAAAATAACTAACATCATTGCGTTTCTTTCTTTCTTTTTTCCCTTTCCAAATAAAGACTAGAGCTCTAAAAGCCTCTGGCCTATGACAGAAAACACAACCAGCTCTGTCAGGCACATCATCATCCCGACACACCCAAAGCACAAGGTGAGGCAGCGCACGGGAGCAACATTTAGTGAGTCCAGACACCTCATAACTATTAAAATGAACTACTATTTTCTTGTAAGCTCAGATCTTTCTCAACACTTGGTAACCTAAGCATTTTGATTCTAATTTAATTTTAAGGTCACATCTTCAGCTTGCAAGCCACCTGCTTTGCCAGATCCAGTGAAGGACATGCACGTTTCCCCTCCCTTTCACCATTAACAAGTGTGACCATGCAAAAAAAAGGAACGTTTCCAAATTCTGATGCTGGACTGATTTTGCTGTGTCTTGCCGGGTTTGGTTGCCAGTGAAATTCTTCTCTCTCTCTTCAGTTCTGTGAAGAACAGGGCCAGCCTTTCCAGTTCACAGAACCCTCTTGTTATTCTGCTTGAACATCCCTGTGTAATTCAAAAGGTTTGCATAATTTAGAGAGAGAGAGAGAGAAAGAGAGAGGAGAGGCTCCGCCTGCAGGCGTGAAATCACCCAGTGTGCCAACACGAGGTGTCTTCCACAGATGCTGCTTGTTTGGAAAGCATCTTGGCGCTTGAATTCCTCGAGACGTTGGCGAGTGGTTGAAAGGACACGGGAAAGCATCGCTTCAAAACCGATTCTCACGCACGCCAGGTAAGTTTTCCATTCGCGTTACAGACACGGGAGATATTTAAAAACGCACACGCAACAACCGGAGGAGCGAAAGGGTCCACTGATTATTTTCTGAAGCCGAGGAATGCCGTCTGGCGGACCTTGGCCACCGGCCTTCCGAGGACTCTGACCCGCGCCGGAGGTTGCCCGCCGGTCAGCGCCCGCGAATAACACGTCGGAAGACCGCGCGCGCGGGGGGGGGAGTTTGCTCAGCGCTTCCTCTCCGGGCCTCCGATTGGCCGCCGAGGAAATGGGGTGACCGCGAGCAGGGCTTTCCTGCGTGGAAACGAAGCGAGTCAGCCGAGGCCGGATCCGCCGTCCGCGCCTGCCGGGTGCAGGGTTCGGTACGGGGGGGGGAGCGGGGTGACCAGGGATCTCAGCGGAAAGCCTCTCGCTCCCCGGCTCCGGATTTCAACCCCGGGGGCCGTGGGTTCGAATCCCCACTCCTCCGGAAACTCGTGTTCGAAGGGCAAAAGGACGGCACTCGGTGCGCATTCCCACCTCGTCCAGAAAGCCCGCAAACCGGCGGCGACTCGGCCGCCTTTAACATAGATGCGAAGAAAGTTAAGAGGTGGAGAAGAGGCAGCCGTATTTAGTCTGCGCAAGCCTCAGGGGTGAAAAGAAAAGAAAAAACAAAGAAAAGGAAAGAACAAAGAAGGCAAAAACGTGGTGGCACCTTAAAGACGAACTAACTTCGTATTTTTTTCAACAGGAGCTTTCGTGGACAACTTCCACTTCGTCCCCTTTCTCTTATGGCTGACGAAGTGGACTTGTCCACGAAAGCTCCTGTTGAAAAAAAAAATAGAAGTTAGTTCGTCTTTAAGGTGCCACCACGTTTTTGTCTTATTTATTTTATTTTCTTATTATTGTTCTTTTAAACTTTTTTTAACCTATAAAGTTAATAGGGCGTAACATCAGGACTGTAGCGCACCTCCTCAGACTCTCGAGTCGTCAGACCCCCCTCTTTTGAGGCGTAGTTTCTAAGAACACCCACCCACCCC